GGGGTAGTTGGGAGACCTGCAGATCTGCAGGTCTCCCAACTACCCCTATCTGAAGTTGAACCGCATGACTGGTGCCAGACTCTCTCAGTCCAGAAGTAAAAGGGTTACCTATTGGTTTGCTCAAATGAGATCACTTGACATTATCCAGAGGGTCTGTGGAGCTGTGCAAGAATTTCAGGAAAAGCTGTGTTCCATTCCTGGTCTCCAACGCATGGAAAGGCCACAACAGGAATGGAAGCATCCATCTTGTACTTTTAGATCAGAGCATTGCAACCCACTCCCCATCCTATTTCTAACTTCTGCTCCATTTGAAAGAATGCCGTGTGTCTTGAGAAAATAAAAGCAGTGTTCATTGGTCTCGTGTTACAATCAGTCACTTTGGAAATGTCAGTTTCACACACCTTTTGTTTGCATGCAGGGTCATTATGTGAAAGCACAAGCTCTTTCTGGATTGGGAAGGACTGAAGAAGCACTGAAGGAGTTTCTTTATTGTGTTGCCTTAAATCCTGAATGGAGCTTAATGAAGAAAGAAGCCCAAAAGGTACAGTAACTACATCATGCCACTCTTTTTTTGTATGCGGGTCTGTTGTGCCCTACAGCTAAGGAAAATCTTTGGATTCAGATACATTCCATGTTAATAAAAAAACAACAACCCATTTTGGCATAATATCAAATAAAACCTTAGTGCATCTAATTGCACAGAAGTCTCTCCCATGGCACAGTACTATCTCCTTGATCACCTCCTTGTCTTGTTTGTAGGTGAGTTTTACTAAACTGTGTGCCTTACCACTGTCCTGTGGAAGCAAGTTGCAGACACTCATAGGCTGAGTGAAGTGAGGTCTAACCTCAACTTAATGGTGTCCGTCTAATAGAATAATTACTTCCAGAATTTCAGGGAACAGTTTAGGTTATCAGTGGGCACAGACCTAAATTTTGTTGGTGCAAATCAGAACACCGGAAAAGCATGATTCACAGGAAAATCAGACTCACCCATGCTGCAGGCAGAGAAATCTGAATCGACAGCGTAACTTGCTGTGTGTGAAGAGAGTCTGTAGCCTGGACTCTTTTATAAGAGAGTCTTATACAGAATATTGTAGGGGGTAGCACGAACCGGGGGTGGGGGGAGAAGAGCACTGGGTAGGAGAAATTACAAACTTGGCTTACACAATGTTCATTGCGAATTGGTAATTCTACTGTAAAAGTTAACAACACTGATGTGTTGGATGTGCTCTAAATGTAATGAAGGTTATACCTTTCAGTCTGTCTTGCTGTCAGTAATACCTATCTCTGATGCGTCTATGCTGGGTTGGGTGGTGCCCATTTAAACAAAAATTTATTGGTAAGAGCTCACTGGTCACCAAAGGAAAAGAATCTACATATCAGTATCTTTAAAACTGAGAGCAATCAGGTTGGCTCTCAAATCACTTCTGCCTCAAGTCAAACATAGGGTATGCCAGATCATGACAGACAATAGGACAGTGTTTATATTATCTGAAGAAATAAAGGGGAGTTCGTTCCCTACAATTGTGCATACAGGCAAGGTGTCTGGGATTCGTAACAAGGTGATCGATCACCCAATAACAATTCATGTATGGGGGGAACAAAATACCCTTGTATATCACCTGAGCAGGTCGACCACTCAAATGCATAAGTAGAATCTAGATCTGATGCATATTTGGTATGGCTATTCTGCAGTCCTTTATTCAATTAGGATTCCATGGTCCCACCATCCTTCATCAGAGGACTACTGTCTCGTGTGGGAATATGCCAAGGGCACTTGAAGAAGAAATGAAGGTTACTTACCTGTAACCAGCATATTCACACTCCCTGCCTGTTTTTCCCCACTGTCTCGGAGTCCGCCTTACAAAGGGCTTGGCACATGGGGAAGGAACTGAGGCAGCTGGAGTGCCATGGCCCTTTTATACCCTCTCCCTGGAACATTGAGTGTTCACTGTGGGGAGGTTGGGGAAGGCATGTGAGCGCTCCAAGAGCTACTGCTAGCTAGAGTTCTAACCATGCAGGCTACACCTGTGAATATGCAGAGTACATCTTGAAGAACCCTGGTTACAAGCAAGTAACCTTCATTTAGACTACACACGTTTGTTTCTGTAACTCCATCTCAAAAAATTCTTTTTTCTCATTTACTAGATAATGTGCGAGATGTTTTTCCCAGCCTTTGAAAATGTGCATGACAGTCTCACTGCACCTTTCTCTAGTCGGACAAGGTTGAAACCTGCATTTTTAAGCAGCTTAAATACTGTTGAAGATGGTTCTGCTGCTGGGTGCTCTGAGGTAAAGAATAAAATACTCAAACTATATTAACACCAAGAGTAAATTTGAAGCATCTTGTTATATGCAACAATTCAAGTCAGGTAGATTGGATATGTTTATATACAAACTTAGTTATTACTAGTGCATCTTTTCCTCTCTCAAATTTTAGAGCACTATGATAAAAAGATAGAAGGAAGTATGAATTGTATTTAGAGCTCTCAACACAGTTCAAAAAAATAAAATAAAATAAAAATAAAAATAAAAACAACCCATGGCTGGCCAGCTGACTCGGGCTTGTGGGACTTGGGCTGTGGGGCTGTTTCATTGCTGTGTAGACTTCCGAGCTCGGGCCCAAACCTGGAAATAGCCCCACAGTCCGAGCCTGAGTCGAATGGCACGGGCTAGCCATGGGTTTTTCTTTGCTATGTAGGCATACCCTGAGGCTACCTAATATAATTAGATTGGGGTACCACTTTCTAAGAGAGCCAAATTGCTGTTTTCATATGGTGTCCCATCATGTTTTAAATAACATTTTATTTTTGTTATTCTGTGTGCGTTTTGAGAATGCACAATTATAATATGTCAGGAGGGGTGGTTAGAAAAGAATGAGAACTGTAATGAGAGAAATAGCCCTCTATTTCTGAGGCAATTGGAGCAAGTATCTCTTATTAGTATTGGCTTAGATCAGTTACCAGGTTGCCACCATGACACTACTGTCTTATCATTTCTATGGATAGAATTAGTGCAGAAAACGAGGAAACAAAATCTGTCTGACTTTCACGCAGTTTCTCTTTTCAGGATACTGTATTCAGATTAACAAAAGCCCTGTCCCAAGAGCCCGATGTACTTCGAAGCACTAATTCCTCTCTCTCTCACAATGTACTGGATTTGCATTTTGAAGACAATAAAAAGTCATTGGGAACAATCCTCTCCAGCTTACCTAGTGCACGTTTAAAAAGAAAGCTATCCAGTGACTTGATGGATTTACAAAGCTTGGATGTCCCCAATAAGATTCCTAAAAAAGGTCTGTCCTGTTGTGTTTTTGGGGGGGAGGTTGATGGGGGCAGTGGGGGTGTTGGGTTATGGCACTCTATTTTAAAAGAGATAAGAAAATAACACTGCTTTGTTACTGTTTGTAGGTAAAACTGAGAGAGAGAGAGAGAGAGAGAGAGAGCGCTCTTCAGGTCTGGGAAAGGTACTTAGGCCTGGTCTACACTAGGAATTTACTTCAGTAGAACTATGTCTCTCAGGGGTGTGAAAAATCCACACCCTGAGAGACATAGCAATATTGACCTAGCCCCCAGCGTAGAATTCTTCCATCAACCTAGCTACCGCCTCTCAGGGCAGTCGATTACTTATGCAGACAGAAGAAGCCTTCCCATCGGTGTAGATAGTGTCTATACTGAAGTGGTGCAGCTGTGTTGCTGTTGCATTTTAAGTGTAGACATACCCTCAGTGTGGACCAGATCTTAGTACAAGTAGTTAAGACACATTCTAAGAGACTATACAATGTGAAGTGGCCCATTAACACCTCTGCAGTAATAGGACAAAAATGGGGAGGTAGTGGGTTACAAATTGTTGTAATAAACTAGAAATCCTGTCTCTTTATTAAGACCATCATTTTTAGTGCCTAGTGAAGTTATGAATTTAAGCTCCCAGGTTCATCTTTGGAGGGTGTTGTGTAGGTTTCCTTTGAGGATGAGTGCTGATAGGTTAGATATAGAGTGATCGCTTTGTGAAAAGCATTCACCCAGAGGTGATATGGTGTTCTTGTTGGTTTTTGTGTGTGAGTTCACTCAAGATCATAGTGGGGAGCTTTCTTCTGGTGATGAGCGTGGTGAGGTGGGGGAGTTGTTTCAAGGCTAGAAGAGGGAGTTCAGGAAAGATTTCTTTCAGGATGTGGTTCCCATTGGCTATGGGTTGCAATTGTTTGATACCCCATATGGGTTCTAGTGTGGGGTGGTAGGTGACAAGTAGGCGTGTGTGGTCAGAGGGCTACACGGCTGCAACACGACTTCAGACAACTAGTCATTCTTGTTTGTTGTGATGAGCAGAGTTGAAACCCTTGTCTAAAAATCAATATTGTTCCAGAGCAGTCTTGATTCATCTAAGGAGTACACACTTCTCTTCTCCAAATGTTGCCTTTCTGATGCTTCATCCCCTAACAGCTTAGATATTGTGCTGCTGGTGACAAGAGTGCTGTAGTTATTAGGTCTCTGAGGTATAACTAAACTTCAGAGTCTCTCTTTACATGAAAAAGATGCACAGTAAGCCCAACGAGGGGGAGCTAATTTGCATCACATGTTAATATCTATTTTCCCCAGAAAACCAAGAATCCATTTAAAAGAGCAGTAGCCCCATCCATTCTGCTATTTGATGCATCTGCTTACATAGATATTTCAGGCTTTTAAAACAAAGATCTCTAAAGGGGTTAGCAGTGTGAAGGAATGCTAGAAGGCAGTAATGTGCTGTATAGTGAAATAAGTGGTTAATGGATGTTTTTTTTAAATCTCCACTGTATTACCATTCATTGTTTCACCAAATGTTGAAGGTTAGAAATCTGACTTCTGCCTTGAAATTTACACGCAGAGTACCGCTGTCTGTTTTCTACCTCTCCACACACAACACATTTCTTCCAGGTAATAGAAATGGTCCCCCACCCTGCTGTGATAGGAAAACTCCTACAGAGTGGCCTGTGAACTGCAAACCCACCCAATCACCGGGGTGGGAAATGTAACCTTCCCCTACCTTCACAGTAAGGGATTTAGAGCCATTTCACACTTTAACTGTCAATTTACAGTTTACACAAGATGTGATGCCATGTTACTGTCCCCTGAATAGCCCATTTAGGGTCCTGCTATTGTTCAGGGACCCCACACTCAAGATATAGGTTAAAGATAAACATTTTCCATGAAAACCACTAATCTATCAGCCACAAGACCCCAATGCCCTCCACCTCTTCCCTGTAGTTGATACAGGCCAGAGGGTTGTGTACAGGTTGTCCCATGACAAAGCATAGTGTTGTAACTTGCATGCAAGGGGGGGAAACTTAATTTTTCATGTGGCATCTAGTTAGACTCCTCCACCAGAGAGTTAGGAGGCAGAGTTGCCAATGGTATTGGAACTTTTGCTTAGTACTTCTAGACTTTCTGCTGCTTAGGCTTTTTGAACTACAGTGTTAAAATTATTGGACAAAGATGCTGATCCTTCTGTGAGTTGTGCACAGATGAAGGAATCTGCCTGCAGAGATCTTATTGCAGGATCAGACCTTGTAAGCACCAGAGTAACCATTATGGAGCTTATACTGTAACAGAGCTTCTAGGTCCAAACTTGTAGAAATCTTGTCTACAGGGAGACCAGACTTGTCCACGCGGTTTTGAGGCATTTGTAAGTTTCTCAAGACCCAAGAATTTAGGAGTCTGCAGATCTGAGGGACTTAGGCTGAACCTGTGAATTTAGTAAAGTCTCTTAGTCCAGCTCTTCTGGCTTCAGCCCTTAAACGCTCAGCCTGCTTGGTTTAGTCACAGAGCTTAATGCTCTGGGCTGTGCTTTAAGTTTAAAATTCTTGAAAATCAGGAATTCAGCTATACAGAACGTCCCAACAAAGCAGGCTATGCTAGAAGTTCGTTAATGCTCTTCACTCTTTTATAAACAGTGCCTGCCCTTGAGAACACTAAACATTACTGCAACAGCAAAGTTCTCAGATTCAAATGTGTTAGCAAATTTACCTCCAGCCTTCCCAAAAAATACTTAAATGCAATAGTCCTGACTTCAGAGGGAGAAGGGGGTGTTAAAAAAACAAATGTGGAGTTCTTAAATTAAGCTTGTTTTGGGGGTTGGGGGAGGGTTTGTTTGAAACATGAAAAACTCTTGAAAAATTAAAACCTATTTCCAACTCTGAAGTGTTTTTTGCCTTGTCTCAAACTTTGGCTCTCAAACAGTACCCTCTCAGAAAAGTTACCCTCTGGCAGGAGGTAATGTGTAATATTTAAGGTGGAAAGGAGTTTTTTGCGGGGGGAGTTTGTGTTCATAGAGAACAGATACAAAAACTGGGTTCATAGTAGAAAACTAGCATAGGGTCACTGCTCTGATTCCATAATGTGTACGTACATAGTGCCTGCTTTACCTGAATGTTTGACATAGAGCTGTCCTCCTCCCTTAGATGGAGATACTGTACTTGAAAACTCTGCCACCTCTGCATTACGTGAGATACCAGCAATCCTTGTGGATGCATCTGACTTCGAGTGTTCCCTCTGCATGAGGTATGACTGCATAGAGCTGAGAGTCTTCCTAAACTTTAGACCAAATGTATTTGGTTTTGAGGGAAGGGTTGTACTGGAAGCTATTCTAACATGAATTAAAGGTTTTGTTTCATCTTTGCAAAAATGTAATCAATGTTAACTTCACTGGAGAGGCTGAAATTATTTTTGCAACATGTCAACATAATGGATTTATTTTAAAAATGAAATCTCTTTTACATCATAGGATAGAGACTAGATAATAAAAATGTCATATAAGATTGACTTGCAGGGGGAAAATAGCTTTAAAAATGATAGGCTTAGTGACTCATTACTATCTGTATTGTTTGTGTGTTGGATGGAAATTATAAAGAACCAATTTTATTTTGTCCCAACTGTCTTGTTCAGGTTATTCTACGAGCCTGTTACCACTCCCTGTGGACATACGTTTTGTCTCAAATGCCTCGAGCGTTGCCTTGATCATAACCCGTATTGCCCACTCTGCAAAGAAAAGCTGTCTGAAGTAAGTTTGTATTTGTGAGGGGTTTGTTTAGAAGCTCTTATTAAGATCTTGGTATATTGTGCAAAATCTCTTTGCATACATACAGCTGAACAATATAGGGCCAACATAGTAATCTTGTTGTGCTCTGCCCAGATGTATTCTGAATACGAACACTAGTATTTATTAAGGTGTATTAATAATCTGGAGCAGGCTGTAGGGAAGGGAAGTACTGACCAAAATTGTTCGCGTTACTTTCTCACATTGAAATTTAGGCGTTTTAGTTTTTGTCTGAACAGTCTCTAACAAATATCAGAGGGGTAGCTGTGTTAGTCTGTATGCACAAAAACAACGAGGAGTCCAGTGGCACCTTAAAGACTAACAGATTTATTTGGGCATAAGTTTTTGTTTTTGTAGTCTCTAACAAAGACTGTGAAAATGCCGAAGAGGCCATACTGTCATTGCAGTATCTCTACTGATACTGTGTTGGTGAACAAAGTACGCTTCTGGCCATTCTGGTGTAGCAAATGTATGCTCAGCTGTGGGAAATGTGATTCCCAAATATTTAGACTCTTCAGGTAGCAATAACTTGGCAGCTTTAGAGTCAAAAGGGATTATGTCCTTTACACTAAGTAAAGAGGACTAGAGGTTGGCAAACGTGTTTTGGGCTTTTGTGGTGATGGTGGTGGGGGGGGGGAAAACAGAAAATATTTAGCAGAAAAATGCTGATTTGCATAGACCAAAAAATTTCTCAAGCTCCTGTCTGCTTCAGCTAGTTGTTTCAGTCAAAGTGGGGAGGGGGCAGGAGGGTTAAGGGTCAGAAGAAATTCAGAAATGTCAAACCAGCTTTGTTTCAACACTTCTGAAACCTAAACGTTTTGTTTTTGTTCGTTAAATTCAAACTACAAGTGGTGTTGAACATTTACACCCTTTAGCCTGGTTAAAGCACCCTCCCCCCTTCTCTCCTACTGAAGCTGTTACACTTTACATACATGATTAAATATTCATTGGAGCAGGGACTGGAACCTGAGTGGTGCCTACCCTCCCAGGTGAGTGCCTTAACCACCGGGCGATAGTCATTCTCATTCGCTCACTCTCTCTGGTCCAGTGAATACTTAAACACTTTACACAGAGTGGAGTAGCTTCAACAGAAGAAACTGAGAATACTCTCTGACCCTGGTGGTTGGGGCACCTACCTGGGAGTGGCGGAGACCCGGATTCAAGTCCCTGTTCTAGAGTGGGGATTTGAACCTGGGTTTTTCACATTCTGGGTCAGTGCTTTAACAGCTAGGTAATAAGGGACCATCGCTATCCAAAATGTTTTTTCTTTAGATGGCCTGATACAAGTTTTTCCCAACTCTTTTGATATGCTGAACCAAACCTGAAATATTTTGGAATTTTTGAGTCAAACTGAATTGTTTTCAACTCTTTGGAACTGCCAGTGAATTGCAAGTCAGTTATTCTCACAGGTCTGAAGAGTACCTATTTTTTTTATTATTATTATTATTATTATGTTGTAGAGCCTATGATAAATGCACCCTTCTGGAAGTTTATGGGCACTGAAGTGAATAGTGTGTCCACTCTTGTATCCCAGAGATAATGTAACATTTTTGAAAGGGTGAGAGAGGAAGAGGAATTAGAACAACTTTACATCAGGAAGCTGCTGCATTCATTGTTTTGTCACTGTTTGCAAATCATCTTGAGCTATCTTGCTCTTGGAATAGGGGCTAGACAGAACTGATTAAATATTAGTACTTAAACTTTAACTCTCTTCTCTATAGTTTTTGGCAAGCAGAACTTATAAAAAGACTGTCCTTACAGAAGAACTAATAGTTCGTTACTTGCCGGAAGAATTGTCAGAAAGAAAGAAAGTTTATGAAGAAGAAATGAAGGAGTTATCAAAGTAAGTTGTTTTTCGGTTGTATCTAAATGTTGTAAAATTTTATTTTGGTCCAGATTACTGAAGAAACCTTTAATTTATTTATGAAAGTAGGTTTCAAAGGTTCACTTAATCTGTTCCAATGCTGGCATGTTTGTAGTAGATAGTAATCAAGAAAAAATAGGCTTGGATGTGAGAGGTGCACAACATCAATGGAAAATATTAATTTTATTTGGCAATAAATATAGTGATTTATTTCTATGAATAAAAAACCCATAATTTAAAACTAATTAAAACATCTTCCCCGACAGTAGGAAGTGGGGGATTAGGAGTAGGAGAAGCACATGCTTATAAGTAGATGTATTGGTTGCTTTATCCATGATTACTTGTACTTGCCATATAGCTGAATTAAAAAAAAAATCACAACAGAAAAATGAAAGTATGTTACAAAACTAGAGGCTGAAAGTTAACTCTGTCCCTGAGTCCCCATTTCCACTGAATTCCTACAAACACTCAATGTCACTTTGGAATATAAAGATTGCTTTCCAGCCATGTTTAAAGTATATGTAGTGTACAGTAATATATCTTTTTGAAAATTATAGATAAAAGCTGTAGAAGACTTAGTGATGTGCAAATTAGATGCTTTTTTCCATGCACATGCTTGAGAATGTGATTGCATTTTCCAAACGTTCTCTATTAAAACCAAAGAATGGAGGTATTGGTACCTAGAGTACATTAATAGCTGGGAGAGCCCTTGATTCTCTGGTGCCTGTGAAAGCAACACATTTTTGTTGACCAAGAGCTTATTTTACGAGAAACAAGTCTGAGAAACCACTCTAATCAAACCTCAACTATGAGGTTTTGTGCTGAATAAATACAGTATGCGGGAGGAGACTGACTGTTCTCATATTTGTATTTTTGCAGTTTGAATGAAGATGTTCCCATCTTTGTGTGTACCATGGCCTTCCCTACCATCCCTTGCCCACTTCATGTCTTTGAACCTCGGTATCGGCTAATGATAAGAAGGTGCATGGAAACTGGTACCAAACAATTCGGCATGTGCTTAGCTGATGAACTAAAAGGGTAAGGAATCTTGCTGAGAACATCCCTGTCGTGACTTTTGGAAACCAGTGGAGAACCATAGTACTGTTGGTCTTCCGCAATGAGTTGGATCCGTTTTAGGTCTCATGCTAGCAGATACAAATGTTACTGAGTGTTTTGTTGTCAGGTTTTTATATCATCTATAAACATCCCCCTTTCTACTGAAGTTTCTAATATCTCAATGTTAGACCCAGAAAGTTGACTTATGCTCTAGCTATCCATCCAACTGCCTTTACGTATTCCTGGAAAGTGTGTTTCATTGTGGATATGCTTTGGAATAGATACGTTATATTTAACTAGAAAATAGTAATATGTCAAAAGACTGGAGTGCACATAGCATCTATTTCCTATTACATTATGTATGACTGGTTTGGGGTCAATAGTACTACAGAGAGCCCATTATGACAATTTCTGATCCACAGTTTGGTGCCCAGTAAAGGCTGTTGACTAAATCAAGGTGAGGGTTGCTTTTCTGTCTGTTTGTTCTGTAAGGGTATGTCTACGCAAAGATAAAAAGCCCCTGGCTGGCCTGAGTCAGCTGACTCAGGTTGTGGGGTGTGGGCTCTGGGGCTGAGACATTGCTCTGTAGATGTTCGGGACTGGGATCCTCAGGGGGTGGGGTCCCAGAGCTCAGCCCCAGCCTGAAGTCTACACAGCAATTTTTAGCCCATGAGCCTGAGTCAGCTGTCTTAGACCAGCCACAGCCGTGCCATCAGTCTTTTATCCCTGTGTAGATGTACCCTAAAACTGCTTCCTGTCTCCTAAGCTTTGGGTTCAGATCGGACTTTTATGAATATCCTGGGTTAATAAAGCTGGACCATACAGTAGGTGTTTGAAGTGGAAAATTAGGCTCTTTGAATGAGAATTACATGCTTGGTGGATGAGGACGCTAGATATGAGCTTTGCATTTGTAGGAATCGAAGAATCCTAAAGAGGTCATGGACGTTCTATTTCCCCTGATGGCATGGTGTAGCTGTGAGCATGTACAGCGGAATCTTACAGTGAATTGCTGATTCCTTTGAAAGAGGGAGGAAGTGGAGAATAACTGGATTCTCTGCTTTGTCCTTGGAGCATGCAGAATGTCTTTTATTGCTTCAACACACTTTTACTCCACTTGGGCCTCTGATAAATACAAATACTCACCAGCAACCACACATCACTGAACAAAAACACTGACCCTGGAACCTATCCTTGTAACAAAGCCCGATGCCAACTCTGTCCACATAT